AATAAAATCACGATTTTTTAAAAAATAGCCACATAATTCATCTTTAAGATGAGCCCAGAAATAAGTTTATATCTTTATTTTTCTGGAAGATATGAATTTTTGAACATTGGGGAAAAGAGGTTTCAACGCAGGTAACACGGCAATTTTAAGATAGGAACACAAAGTGAGATATTCATTCGAATATCACGTTTATCAGAATCGTGTAATTACTGTAATTAGATATAGATGTTGACGAAACACTTATTGTATTGCATTATCATAATTTATTTCATATATATAAACATTTGATACAATTTTTAAATTTTTTATTTGTAGAACTTATCATTAGCAATGGTGTTAATAATAGCTAGATCCTATAGGATATAATATATCAGAGAAAAATGGATGGAGTAATCAAGATTCAAAATTCGGTTTGGCATGGTACTCTTACTGGACTTCGATACATTCGGACATGTAAAATAAAATTGTTTGCAAAAATAATCAAATACGTAATATCTATAATTATTATGCTGATAAGTCCAATTTATTTAATATTTCTATATTTCGAGAGATTATATTCTTTTATATTCAAGCATATACTAGATTTTTATATATTCATTTAGATGCAAATAACAGAGAAAAGTATAATTTTATTCAGTTTCACAAAATTTATCCAGAAAGAAATAATAATTCTTCTTATATTTTTCTTAAAACATTTAACATATGAAAACGTCAAATTTTCCAGGCCAGACGACATGTATTTGATACAACAAATTAGTCATCTAGGATGTCACGTTAAAACAAAATTATTTTTAATTTATAATTCATGCTTTTCATCTTTATGTTTTGTTAAATTAAGTTCTCTGTTGAATAAGTCGTAGCTCTTTATTTTGGAATAATTTTACTGCAAGATAGAAGAAGGAAATCATTCTCGAACGAAGAATTTATAATTTTTTTTTATTCATGTAACGCTTGATATTTAAAAGGATCAATCTTAACTTTTCTACTTATAGTTCTCTCACGCAGAAACCGCCAAAAATTTTCGAAGAAGCAAGCTTCTCCGAGCTTCTTCGGCGTGATTACTCGACTCCGAAGCAGCGTAGTTGCTGCTACGCAGCACACCGAATAAAATCGAGCTTTAATTGCATCTTATTCCTGCAAGTAAATTGTTGGAAAATAAGGTACGTGTTCTCGGTCTATGTTGACAGCTGCTTGAGAATCTGTACTGACTATGGTCTTAATTTATGCTCGTTATATTATATAATATAAGATACCTTACTTCAAATATACAATGAATATACATTAATGCTTAGATCGTCAAAATATCCTCGCGATCGTAACTCAATGTATGTACGTAGAGCGACTGTTAATGCATATCTCGCAGCAGATATATCGTATTATCCCCTTTCCTATAGTTACATTTACACGTTGATGCACCAAGAAAAACTTATAATCGATAAGATTGTCGGTTAAATCAGCACTTCACGACGAGAATATTATCACAATTTAAGCATACATATTATTATTATATATCATTACTAATTTGCTTTTTTAATGAATGGACTAGACTCGATTACTTATAATAATAATAATAATAATAATAATAATAATAATAGTAGCTTCTTAACGTTTAAGAATATTGCAGAGAAACGAGAATTATTTCCGCAAGCTATAACAGTATAAGTCAGAAATAGATGTACACAAGATTTTACATCGAAATAGATTACTACCGGCATCCCCAAGTCTTTTTATTATCAAAATATGTCTAACGTCAAATATCTATTAATCAGTTATGCATCTCTTTTTAAAAACATTCGTGGAATTATGTCTTGAAAATCATACAGCATCCCAGATAGCACAGAGAGTTCAAAAAGAATTCAATCGTACATCATCGATTCTGAGTTTAATTTTCAGATGCAAAAAGAATTCTCTTTTCAGAAGTTCCGAAAAGATTTTTTTGCACTGAAATTTTTTATTTTGCGCTAAAAATGAACTGACCTCAAAATGATAACATACAACCGAATATACGAATGAATTCTTTTTTAACCGTGTGCTGTCTGAGATACCTCGGACGTGAATATACAGATACATGAAGAAGACATCGGGAAGACTTTAACACGTTAAAATGAAATCAAGATTGATGAGCAGCTGCTAGGTATGAGCAAATTTTAAAAATATACTTTTTGAAACTATCGCTCTATAAACGTTTTACACACAATGTATCTTTATATTTATAAGACAATGAGGATATATGATAGCAACAAGTTTCGATGTCATCTTGAGCTGCGCGTTACAAAGTCAATCAAGATGTAGTGAATTTAGATAATCGAAGATCAGGATGCGTCAAATAACGCATGTCAGACAAGTTTAGCTTGGATGCTGCAGGAATGCAACAAAGTATTCGAGAGACATTTCGGGATTTCGTTTTCCCTCAGTTATGAAAACAAATAATGTACATAGCTCTTGCATTTTTCCATGTTTCTTTTCACGTTTCAATCGTCAGTCATTATGTACGCGTGCATTACGAAGAGAAATTCATAATTATTCAATGAATAACGTACTTGTCTAATCTTTGCATCCGATGCCCCTTCGATTATGCTAAGAATGTTAGACGCTATATCTCGTGTGTATGAACATATAAAATGTACGACGCGTTAAGAGTGAAACGCGTGGGAAACGGAATTCGTCTATTATCCTTAAATGGGAGCGTTATTTTTTTGTACAACGCGCCTGATACGTCTCTTACATATTATAGTTAATAAATAATACGATGATTCGAAAGGTATGGAAGAGAATATCTAAATATATACCGCTCTCTTTAACTTTTACTTTTTTTTACCACTTTGATATGCGGTTGCGGATATGCAAAGTTATGTTCCTTTAGAAGCGCGTGGAAACAATAGCTCTTTTAATGTTATCTTAAAATAGCTTTCTTTTTGGTGCTCATATATTATATTTTTATTCGCGCGGATCTTCTTTGAGAGTTCATTCTTTAACGGGAGATTTCCTTGACTTTGCAAGTGAGAAAGGGAGAAAGAGGGAGGGAGAGAGAGAGAGAGAGAGAGAGAGAGAGAAAGAATGCGCTTAAAATTATTGGAAGGCCCACCTAGCGTCGCTAAACACGAATTACACGTATACATAAATAATGTGTATAAATTAATTAAGTACAAAAATTACAAACTTATTAACAAAATATTGGCAAGACGAGTTTAGCCGAATTAACGGGCTACGAATCACTTTTCGTCCCCATATCCTTTCTAACGAGATTTTCAACTACTCGAAAGAGAATTCGAATAACTTAAGGAGCACAAAGCTTATATATTCCCGTTACAGTAGTCTATTAATCAAAGTGTAAAATTATATCCAGAAAATTATATAAACGACTAATTTATATTTTTAATGCAAAGTAATACACTGAACAAAACCTAATTATGTAATACTCTCTTAATAATAAATAATATATAAAATACTTTTACAATCTTGGAGATAATTTTTCATGATTTTTTTCGTATTGCACAAAATTACTACAGACAAGTTTTTACTTTTATCATTCTAAGCGAGACTAATTGACTAACTGCAAACGGGAACTTTTACTTTTTTCCAACTTGTATCAATAATCTATTAATTATTGCGAATTATTCAAAATAAATATGCAGGAAGCCAAGAGTCGCGCAGGAGTGTTGAATTTATTTGAAACATACGGTGACACTGAAGGTCTCGATTTTTATTTAAAAAAAAAAACTGTAGTGTAAAAAGTAGAGAGTATAGATTTATCGTTAAAGGAAGAGAGAGAGAACTTACTGAAACTTACTTTACAATTACGCCTTATCCCGACAGTAGGAATTTCATTTTAATGCATGTAAACTGAGAGAGAAAGAGAGAGAGATCGCTTATATATGTATATGTATGTATTGTGTGTGGAATGCATATACATAGTGTTCTTTCTTTTATTTAAACAGGACTATCTGCTCGCCTATCGTAATAACAACCTGCACAAAACCATCGCTTCTTACTCTGTATGCATCCTTAAGATGCGTGTCTTTAGACAAGAATCGATCTCTCGTAGATCGGAACGCTTCCGATTTTCATTTAGAAAAGAATCATCCGTCTTGTGTTACTGTAATTCGTATCACGATATATGATCGCTCGAATCTTTCATATTTCTGGACGAGTTTTCCCCATTTTTACGTTAATAAATATTACACTCGAGTACGCCTTCGTTCTGAAGAACATTGTTTAAATTACCTAACACATATCACAGAATCCATATTCTCTTTTAGAAAAGAAAAAGAATTATACAAACGCAATAGAGCACGGAATACAAAAAGCGTTAGGGATATTATACAAATATGTCGTCGTGGTATTAATACAAACTAAATTCGTATTTGTTGCGCTTGTCGAAGATCGAAATGACAAATTTTGTGCTCGCACTTGTCAGGCATGAATAGCGTTTAACGCTTTTTGGTTCAAAGGAATGTCGTTCATTATCCCAACTTTGCTCAGTGCCTTTGGGCAGCGATCACCTATTTTGCGCTACGTTTTTTAGTCCACCACAGAACAAGAAAGAATATTAGAATGCATATTTATAATAATAAAAACAATACATTTTCTTACTAATTGAAGAAAAAATTAAATCATGAAACGATAATATCGATATATTACACAGTTCGTTCTCAATTCTTGTCTTTTCATAACGTGCAGTTTCGCTCTTTTTTATATTTTTTTATTCCTGAATTTTATTTTATATGATACAATTAAAGTTGTTTCTTATATTTTAATAAATTTTTATATTCTTACATTTTAAGAAAGATTAGTGGAATTAAAACAAATAGCTGTGGACATCTATCTTCGATAATCATTCTTTGAAAATAGAAAGAATAATATAGTTTCGAGATTTGTTGTATTTCTCCATTTCCATCCGTTCTTCAATAGAGTGCCATTGCTACTCGTCATGCAACCGCCGCGTTCTGTAGCGGTGAATAAGTGAAATCGCAAAACGCCTCGTGATCGCTGCCCCTCATGCACACAAAGCTTGCGATCAGTGTCACATGCAGACTCAAACTGTGAATCCTGAAGAACATCCACTTAACGTATCGGTACGGATAAATTAATGCAATAAAAGTTATGTAATACTAGGTTGGTTATTAGCTTTGCAATGAGTATGTTACAGTACTATACGTATATTTCTTAGTTCTCTTTTTTAATCGACATTATCTGTATGGTACAGTGACACGTTTTGGGATCCGCTTCGACGAAGACATCTCCTCGGAGATACCTGCAAGCAAAGAAATGCAGAACGTGATTTGAAGGCACGCATGATAAACATGTATATTGATTTTTATACGCTGTATAATGCTACATATATATAAAACGTTGTTTGATTAATATTTCAATTATTTTCATAAACTGTAAAATGTATCGATAGCGTACTATTGCTTTACACAAACTTATTGAATTAGTAAGATAATTTTATATTTTGCAAAGTTAACTTCTGACAATTAAATAAGCTTCTTCTAATTAAAATAATAAAATAATTTCGTAGTTTTTTGTACTTAATAATTGAGTGCTTTATCAAAAAGATGAGCTATCCAACAATAAAATCTAATTAAAAAATTTAATTCTTGTATAATCCACACATATTTAAACTTGTTTGTTCCATGTTTATTGCCCTCTCTCTCTCTCTCTCTCTCTCTCTCTCTCTCTCTCTCTCGCGATATACATATAGCATTTATTTAACGTCGATTAAGCAAGCTCTCACCTTCATCACTGATATAAAGCGACGCCGAAGTGACCAGGGGACTATTGGTTGAGCAGGGTGTTAGTCACCTCAGAGATGGACAGCAAAGGACTCCCGGCGTCCGGTTTGGAATCTGTGGGACAGTTGGGCCCATTCCCGCCGCCGCCGCCGCTGCCGCTGACGATCCCACTACGTGATGGTGGTGGTGCGGAGGGTGGTACAAGACGTTGCTGTTGTTGTTGCTGGTGCTGGTGTCCACCCCGGTGCCCATGCCCATGCCTGCCGCCACCCCCGTCCCCGTTCCCGCAGCTGACGGTGGCGTGCTGCAACCAAATGGACGGTCTCCCCGTTATCTTACGTGTACTAAATTAGGCTTCTCCATTTGTAGATAGTGGCACAGCGCATCGAGCAAGAAATCGGCCAGGGATTTGCCTTTTAATGTTATTGCGAAAGCGAGTAACTTATTTTAGTAGCTTGACTCGGCTGAATTTAAAATATTTGCACAATTGTAAAAATTCGACTCGCAATCCGACGTCAAGTAGCTTGCATAGAAAATGATTGACCGTTCAATTATGTCTTATTTATTTTCTTAAACGTGCTTTTCTTGGAAAACAAAATTGAATCGGATGCGATTTCCTAATCACGTAAAGATGATTGTAGTTTTTCTTTACGTAATACTTTTGCGTGTTTGGCTTGTTTCTTGATTGACGCTGTTACTCACAACGACTCTTTAGAGTGTTTCAATGTTGCTGGATCTCAAATTATTAAACTCTAATGATTCTTATAATAGCTGCAGTGAACTTTATGAATAATCATTGAAATTATATGTCAAATGATGCAAAAATAAAATTATAATTAATCATGCATTTGTTTTATCATGATATATAACCAAATGAACAAGCATAAACCATAAAAAATTTATATACGTCCATAAATATAAGTATTCCATATAATATAAATATTTTTATCATGTTTATATGGCTACTGATAGACTGTCTAATTGATAGAGATGTGCAAGTACTTGAAATTATTAAGTACTAGAATTTCTTGGTGATGCCGAAATACGAATCACATTTATCTCGCAAGTGTGATTTTATTTTTAAATGCGATAATATGCTTTTATATTACGGACAATCAATTTACAAATAACAGATTTTATATCTTTTTTATAAATAACATTAACACTTACGATTCAAGATTCTAATATATTTAACTGTCTAAAAAAAATTATATTGTCTAAAAATATATATATATTAAAAATCTAATTTATATATCACACAAAACACTGACGAGTTTTATATGGAATTTAATTTTATGAATGAAAATTGTTTTAGCATTGAAACTTGTACGCAATAACAGTAGCTCACATTCAATCTGATCACCTTATTGTAAATGACGACGGAAAATTATAATAAAATCTGTGAGGCAGCAGTGACACTCACTGGGGCGTGTGCCTTGGTGGTGCGGGGTGGTGATGGTGGTAGGGATAGTACTGGTAGTGATGGTGTTGCACTCCTTGCCATACCTCGGAGCCCGTTTCCCCGTGTCCGCCATGGCCTGGATGAGAGTGCGTAGAGTAACCGATGGTGCTGGCTGCGGCGGCAGCGGCCGCGGCAGCAGCTGCGGCTGCTTGATATTGCGACGTCGTGACAGGATATTGTTGATGCTGCTGTTGCTGATGATGATGTTGCTGCTGCTGCTGCTGCTGTTGCTGCTGCTGGGATTGTTGCGTTTTATTGTTCCTCGGCGGACTCGGCGCGGTCACTTGCTGATCCGTCGGCGAGGTTTGTCGCCACTTGCAGTCTCCGTTCATGGAGTTCATCTCCGCGAGCGACTTAAGCGGATCGCCGGTGGTGTTGGTCGAGTGCGTGGACGAGTGGGTCGAATGCGGCGTCGGGGGGCTGTAGCTGCCGTTGTTCCTGGGTGGTGTGCGCGACGGCGGCGCGCCCCACATCAGCACGGTCTGCCGCGGCGCCTCGTTGCCGTACACCTCGGGCTTCACGTCCTCGATCTTCGGCGTCAGCATGCCGTTGGCCGTGCCGGTCACCGGTGAGCTGCCGGCGGAGTTGCTGGACGACGCGCCGCCCTCCAGCGAGTGCCTACTCCCGGCGCGCACCACGTTCATATCGGTCGTCGCTGGATGCATCGTGGACGCGCTCGCCACGGGACTGGCGGCGTACGGCGAGCCGCTCACGCTCCCGGGATGCCTCGTCTCCACGTAGCCGTATTTCGGCGACTCGCCGCTACCGAGTTGTTGGCAGTAGAGCTTCTCGTCCGTCTTGCTGGCCAGCTGATGGGTCTCGTACGTGGGCAACGACACGTCGATGAAGCCGTTGTACGCGGTGCCGGTGTGGTATTCCGAGTAATACGAGCCCAGCGGCCTGTATTGAAATAGATTCTCCGTCGCAGCCGTGAGGTACCTGTTATCTAACGCAGTCGCCGGATAGAGGGTCTGATGGTAGTTGCCCGTGTGACCGATGTAAGTCGTCAGGGAAGGATCGGTGCTCGCCGCCACCGCTGTGGGCGCGTACGGCGTCGGGTACATGGTGTTCAAATTGCTGTACGCCGCAGCGACCGCGGCCGCCGCGCTGGTGTCCGCCGTGAGATAGTCCACGGGCGGGACTGGCGGAGCCGGTGGCGAGGCTGACGACTGCGCGGAGAGCTTGCGCTTGTTGCGGCACGACGACAGAAAGTCCCGCAGCTGCGTCTTGTATCGCCTGTTCACCCTCTGGGGCGCCGGTTGCGCCGGTAACGTCGGCGTCATGACCGACCCCGTCAGAGTATCGCTGTCAGAGAAGTAGCTGTTGGTCAGTCCGGCGTCCAGATAGCTCACCTTGAAGTCCATCGTACGTTTGCCGAGCAAGTCTCTACCTTCCTCCTCCCTGAAATGTGAATTAATTGTATCGCTCGTCCGCTCGTCTCGACACCAAACAACGCAACGTTTGAGACTTACATGAGAGGACGATGAGTACTGAGCACGAAGTCTGGTTTCGAGTTTTTGTAGACCAGTCTGGAGCTAGTCTGCAGCCACTGCCAGCCGCCGTCCTTCGTTTGAAATCTGTAGGCTATCATACCCGATGCACCGGTTTTCAGTACTGAAAGAAGAAAAAAACATAAACATTTTTTTAAATATTTGCCATTATTTAATTTCAATTTTTTTTCTTAAATAATGCAACGTCGTTTTAGCAACATCAAAAGCTTCGTATCTAGTATCAATGAATTTAATATTATCGAAATATTGAGTAAAATAATGGCAAGTAATATTAATTAGTAATCAGGGTTAAATAGTAACTAGTTAAAAAGTTAGAAGTTGAATATAAAGTTAAATAGTTAATAACTTTTAACCAAACTTAGTTAATTTTAAACGAGTTAACTGTTAACTTCAACTACTTATTTTTAAACATATATAAACTTTAACTTATTAACTTCTTCTAAGTTAAAAATTTACCTATTTAAAAGAAAAAACGTTTTATGCAAAGAAAATATTTCGTTGTTATTTCATATAAACTTAATTTACAAATAAAATAATAAAATTTTATCATTTATATTGTAATTTTTTTAATTTAAAGTAATCTTATTTTTTAAAATTACGACATTTTAATATAAATAATGTTTTTAAAAATTAAATTTTAATTTAACTTTAATTAATTTAATCTTAATGCAACTTTTAAGTAATTGAGCTAGTTTTTTGTTCATGCAACTTTTAACTGAACTAAATTTATTTTATAAGTCATTAACTTTAACTTAATTTAATTAAAAAAAAATAATTAACTTACCCAATCCTGTTAATAATACAGTAATACTAATTCGTTTTCAATACATTTCACATATTTTATATAGTTATTAAGAATAAAGAAATATAAGAATAAAGAAGATATTTATTCAAAATTATTTTTGCAGCGGAAAATTCTACATTCTAAATATTAAAAATTTTCACACAACGGACTTACATTCTTGATGCGCGCTAGCAACGTAGGCCAGGTCGTCGTAATGGACTAGATCGTAGCCACCGAGATTCGTTAATTCCGCATCGGAATAGCCTAGGAGCATCTTTCCTTTCTGATCCATCGTCACGAGCGCGAGATCCAACTTGTGCTTGCTCTTAAACATTACTTCCTTCTGCGGCACCTCGAGGAGCGAAGGCGGCCCGAACGGTGTGCACAGGGCGAACAGGGCCAGCGGTGGCTCTTCCGTCTTTCGGTTCTGGCCGTGAAGTACTTTGACTCGGCCCCTGATGTCGAGACGCTGAAATAAATAATCCGTTGTAGTGTCTAGAGCGACAATACAAATATTATACAACTAAAGTTGGTTTATACACGCCTGTAAATAAAACCCGCGATTGCTTAGTGCGGAAATATTAATCGAATCATTAAATCATTTTATTCAATTTTTTGTATAATAATGCTCGTTATAGATTCATTGCCGCGGTTATATATATAATGAAATAAATAAATAATTATATAATGGTACGTTATTATCGCCATGGTATTATATATGTGATCTATTCTTGGAGCGCTCGTAGCTTCACATCGAAGAACAACTCTCGCGCAGCATTTGAATGGCGAGTGACAGATAGAAAACGCCCATGGCGCTCGTAACAGAGAAGAACAGTCTCACGTAGATGGACCAGTCGCAAAGAAAACCAAAAAAAAAAAACCGGCAGGAGGCTACCACCGGTAGCTAGATCGACGGTATATACGTCCCGTCGCGAAGGATACCAACCAAGGGCAGGTCCTGGGAGGAGGTGGTAGCGGCGGTGCGCCGCTCTCGCGCCCGTAAACTCTTTTACGATTACAGTTTCATTTTCATAAACGTCAAAGCGGCATCGTTTTTACCGAACTCTCGCGAGCTCGGCGCGGCGCGGAACTCGCTCCACACACACCGCTCTCCTTCGCGCGGCCACGTCCTTTGCCCAGGATAATACCGCCGTCCGGCCGCGCTCGACATCGGGTATACCTGCGGCGCGTCCGCAGTGTGTTTGCCGTAAGATAATTAGTGTTTTGCCGCGTCTTCGTACCCCGGCTGCCCGACCTTCCCTTTCCCTTCCCTCCACCCCTCCCCCTCTCTCTCCCTCCCGTCCCTTCCGGAGAGAGAGAGAGAGCCTGGTTTTGTTTGGCCCTTGATTTATACCTTTTCTTGAACGCCGTCGGGACAACGGTACCAACGATGGACAGCCGTCCGGGCCCGTCAGCTCCGGACGAATTATCGTTTCAATCTCCGCCGCGCTGTCACGGTTCATTGGCTGGGCCTATGATTATACACAGTCCAGCTTTTGCGCGGGGAATGTCGGCCCCACGGCCTAGATTTAAGGCCGTTGACGTAAGAGCGCGGCTCGGAAATTCCTTCGGGAATATATTCAGGAAATCTGCCGAATGCCGGATAACTTCGCTACCTATCATATAGGAATGATCGTAGAGAACCGCGAGCGCTGCACCGCGTTTTCCACCGTTAAGTATAACACAAACGGCGCATTTGTGTCGCTGTCGGTGAAAGTTCGTTTGGTGCTCGATGAAACTCGTGTGTCAAAATGTCTCTCTATATAGTCCTGTATCGTGTAAAAAATTGTAATCCGATTGTACCGCGCGTATACACACGTCCGATATCCCGGGTAAAATTACGGAGAGGTCGTTGATACCGACACTTCGTGCGCGCAACAATCTAATACATGCCCTCGCGGTTTCAGCTCGGTGGCAGGTCGAGAGGGTAAGTAGGAAACAACCCGGGAGAGTGGATCGGAAGGGGAGACGGACGGGAGGATGGAAGAGGGGAAAAAAAAAGCAATTACGCGAGCGAGCGGGGGAAACAGTGGCGGCGTTATGGAAGAGGAGAGGAGAGAGGCCCGCTCCTCTTCCCTTTATGACAGTGAAATTATTAATTACTGTTTTGTATGCCGGCACATCGCTTTTGTAACCGTGAAGGAACGTCGTCCTGGGCTCCTACCCGGCTTTAGTCCTCGCCTAAGGCAACCAACGCGCATGCCATTTATTGTAATTACGTGTGGCGCATATGCCGCACAGATTTCGAGATCGTTTACGTGCTTTCACGAAGGAGAGTATCCGAGATAGGATTAGAGCCACGGTTCTCAAACCAAAAAAAATGTGTATATCTTAAGAAATATAAATCTATATATAAATAAAAATCGTTAGATTACATATTATAACATTAATAATTATTAATGTTATTGTTATTGATAAACTTTAAATTGTTTCTATTTCACTTAAAAAATTAAAGTGTATATTCTATAAGTTCAATTTTAAGTATAAAATTATTTAACTTAATATCAAATAGATTTAAAACCGCCTTCTACGGTCAAGGTTGGACTTTAGTGCCTAATAATATTTCTATATGAATTTTTAAAAATTAATATTCAGCCATTTAATTGCGCGTCGAATTAATGTCGGACTTGCAACGCAATCATTAGCTGAAGTTGGAATAGTGAGATCACAATTGAGCTTTAATTTTTTAATAATCCGATGCGAATAGACATCTTGAAACACTACGAAGAAATTTGTGATATTCACATTTACACGGTCTAATTCGAATTACTTATTGTTATATAACTATAATTAAAAAAATTTAATTAAATGTAATTTGATTTCTATTTTAAATATACGTGTATAAAGCTATTTAATTTATAAATCAATATACAGTAATGAAAAAGTTGACAGTCTATTGAATTAATAAAAAATCGATTTTATATTGATAGAAACGTACCGAAATGATTCTAATACATTTTGTATGTTGAGCATCTCGCAAAAGTCTATTTTCGTCATTAAATTATGTGTGAATGGGTGATGCGATTAAAAGTGTAAGGTACGCAAAAATACAAGCGATGCGTATACGTACCAGAAAGCCGGACGTATTGTCGAGAAGACAACGGAAGCGAACCGTGAAGCTACGTTCGAGCAGATGACAATGCTGGGGCGAGAGCGCGTCGTGCAACGGCAGACTTGTACTTTCGGCGGGCAGGAAAGAATTCCACATTAATTGCCGCTGCAATTCCTCCCGGTCCTCGCTATGCACCAGTTCGTAGACACTCTGGTGGACAATGTCAGACTGAAAAAAGAAGAAAAAAGCAGATCTTGTTAGCGTTATTTTTTTTTAATCAAAGATCTCACACTTTGTTTATTATTTTTTTATTTAGTGCACGCTTTACGTTTGCAGTGCCTTCTTCTAAAATTCATGTTAGATACACACTGAAAATTAAAGATTACAAATTAAAGATTAGAATTCGAGACCAACTAGATTTTAATTTTTTTTGTCCTTGATATGAGTCCTTGATATTTTCTTAAGTCGTGTCTTTTTTTTCAATTTAACTAATATTTTCTTCTCCTCCTGCCGGTAGCTTCTTTCGTCCTTTAATATTTCGTGAAAAGTATATATAATGAAAATGCATAAATTTTTTGAAAATACTAACACAGGCGATGCACTACACTCCAAATCCAAGTGTGTAAATCTGTAGTCACATTTTACGCATTTAAACGCGTGTTATATTTTTACACATTTTATCTGTGTTTTGCTGCACAGTTAAATGCATATTTTTTACACGTTTACACATATTATTGTAAAATTAACCGTGTAAAATTATGCATTTAACTGTGTAAAACACAGATAAAATGTGTAAAAATATAAATACGTAAAATATTACTACAGATTTACACACTTGGATTTGGAGTGTAATCAAGAGTTTCTCTTCATTTTAATTTCTATTCTTCTTATAACACTTTTTCAGACTTCGTTATAATCGTAATATATTGTGTGATTAATTTTAACGTGATTTATTTTATATATTATTTTACAGTAATCAGAACTTCTACATTTTTTTTCTCTGAAAGGAAATCAGAACGTAAAAATAGATTCGCGCCGTACCTATACGATTAAGCACGTTCGGCTTCACTAAATCGTCAATTTACGTCGTTTTTATTACCAACGAGAGACACGCAAAATCGAATGACTCGGGCACGGATTATCACGGATGATTTGTTGCCCAGGTCGAAAATAATGAAAACGAAAAGTGAGACAACTCCGCTTATCCATGACACGCGCAAATACACAGATTTTATTGCGTCCATACATAATTAATGCTCGTTTATTCGCAGTTTAGATATCGGCTATAAAACGAGTTTAATAATAGTGCTCGCGTTCCTTGCCTCGCGGGCACCTGACATTCGCGTTTATCCAATCTGAGAATTCGTGCATACATTCTATCGTGTGTCACGAACGTGCGCGAACTCCGGGCCATTATTTACGATTAACTCTTCGACTACCGTTTTCCTCGCGTCAATCCCCCGTCGCAATCTCGTTTACGCTGTTCTTATACCCACGGAGGAGGGGAGGGAGGAGGAGGAGGAAGAGGGGGGGGAGGGAAAACCGCGGTATGTACAAAGATTGCCGCGAGACAGTCCAAAAGACTTGTCCAAACTCGAAGTAAAGCCAGCACTGGTTTCCGCGTTGCTTATATATTTTGTGAAATGTATTCCGAATTGTTTCCCTGCATGTCAAAACGATTACTTTCGAAGAAGAAATTTTGACTGAATTTTAATCAGCTTGAAATAATACATCGCAGTTCAAGAAGTTGCAAAGTGTTGCAGAATTTGTATAACTTGTAATATCTTCAAAGATACGCTGCCTTAAATATTGATCGTATATATTTTTTGATTTTATGAATTTAAAAAATAGCTCGCATCTCTTATATATTTATAAATAATAAAGATACCATGTTTTATACAAATACACTGTAGTTGGAAAATTTTATTTAAAAACAAACTTAATTAACTTATAATTTTATATATATCATATAACATTAACATTTTTCTATGTAAAGACATTTTAAATTTTTTGAAGTAAAATTTATATGTTTTCGCAGCAATAGTAATGACGCAATTATAAATTGCACTCTAATAGAGTTGAATTATAGTAGATTTAAAATAATAGGTTGAGAACTGTAGGTTTCAAAGCTCACTTAATCGAAATAGCAGAGTGGCGCAGTGGAAGCGTGCTGGGCCCATAACCCAGAGGTCCGTGGATCGAAACCACGCTCTGCTATAGAATATTTTTTATTTTTATTTTTTAATAATTTTAGCCAAAATGTAATTTATGAATATGCATATTTATAAATATATTATTTACAACCTTATGAAAATTCAACTATCGATTTCTAGGCATGAGAGAAGAGCACTACTTATTGTATCATATACCATAATGTAAGTTCTAATTCTGTGATTTCTAAAGAATTTTAGCACGCTATTTTGACAGAATAAACCGATAGTTTATATCGGTAAAAGCATAGTTTATATCAAAAAGAAATTTTTTTTAATTAAAAAACTAGAGAGTTAGAAACTGTTTTCATTTTTAAAAACTTATATACCAGTTGCATTTATTGTCCAGAGACTTACGTATTTATAGAATAAAATTCTCTTGTATTTAATTCAATAAAATAATTTTGTCACTCTTTTCAATCGACAAAATATTTTGTTTCAGAGATATAGTTTGTTAATAATTATCATTTTAATGAGCTCTTTACGAGCTCTTTACGAGCTTTTTACAGGACAACCTATATAAATGTGTTATAAAAAAAGCACCGAGAGAGAACCGTTGGAATATCGTGAAAGCTCTAAAGCGCATCGAACTCTAATGGTATCGCCAGAGCATCCCCGAGTCGCGGTCGGTCGCCTCGCGCGGCCGATCAATGCCGTCATGCGGAATTACATAACAATTTCAAAGTGGAAAAACACGAGAGGTCGCAGGCACGATCAATGCTCCTTCTCTCTCTTTCGCGCCGTCGCTGCCGATGTTACTTCTGTCGCAACTTCTCGCTTATGACCAGCGAGCAACAGCAGCAGCAACAGCAGCAGCGGCAGCGACAACAGCAACAGCCCGCGACGTGGCTGAAACATGGAAGTCGTGAGATCACGGCGCCGCTGATATACACCTTATAGGCACGAGCGTAAGTACGTATAGGCAGGTATAATACACGCGCCGGTCGTGTACACGGGAGAGATACACACGGGGAGCAGGGCGCCTGGAAATCGTAGCTCCACGGTAGCTATACGAGAGGAAGTCGCCTGGTATCTCCCGTACTCTCTCTCTACCCGCGTGTGATTTATTATATTATTCGCGCCGGGCGAGTGTGAGCAGACAGCCCGAGCTGACAGCCGTGACCAGGTAATGGAGAGAGAGTCAATTCGAGATCTGTTCGCGAGCCCGCGGCCTAGGAGCTGAACCCACAGCCAGAGGGGTTTACGGACGTAAATGCGTGTGCACGGCGCCGATTATCGGATTAAAAGTCACGCGCGTCGCACCTATCCGCTCCCCGGCTCGACCTGCTCGGGATCGTCTCGGGTCCTGTTATACGCGAGGTCCAGTGACGCCAAGTACTTACTTAGAGGTGCACATCCTTGAATACTCAAATCTGTATAAAGGTACCTACTCTTCGCAGCGAACGCGATTTGCCTCTCGTACACATTTTGCTGCTTGTCTGTTTTTTTTTAAAAAGAAACAAATTGATCGTACCTAATCTAATATATTTGTAATAAAGTTTTGTATAGTTTAATTAAGTATCTGGAATTTATTTGTAATGAATGAAATTTTTTTAATTTAATTTCGACTGACTCAGCTTTGAAACCTACAGTTCTAAACCTATTATTTTAAATCTACTATAATTCACTCTATTAGAGTGTAATTTATAGTTGCGTCATTACTATTGCTATAAAAACATCTAAATTTTGCTTCAAAAAATTTAAAATGTCTTTATATAGAAAAATGTTAATGTTATATGATATATATTTATAATAAATTTTATATATAAAATATCTTTATATATAAAATATCTACATCGCGCTTATACGTATATTTTTTGACACGTTTGAAAATCGTATGTGCACGGAAAGAATTTTGTTGAGCGATTTTGTTGAAGGGTCTAAAAATTTTGCTGTCTGGAATTTATTTGAAATAAATAACATTTTTATAATTTAATATATTTATAATAAACTTTATATATAAAATATCTTACATCGCGCTTATATATTTTTTTACACGTCTAAAAATCGCATGTGCCACAGGAAGAACGATTTTGTTGAAAAGTTAAAAATTTTGCTGAAAACAGATCTGAAAATAATATTTTGTTGAATCATCAAAATAATTTGTTGAAATGTTAAAACTGCTAAGCATTGCTATAAAACGTGTCGATATTCTAGCAATCATTTTGACTTTCGCACAAAATTATTTTGATTATTGAACAAAAATTATTCTCAGATCTGGATCCAGCAAAATTGTTCTTTCCGTGTGACAACGCTATTTTTTCTACATATAACTATACGCTACTATTTTCATATTGTCCAGATATTACTCGTCTATAGATATTCATTTTCCTCATCTTAAAATTGTCAAGAACGATACTCTGACAGCGCAACGTCGAACGCACGCCCTATCAATTTCTAGTTCTTCCGACGCCGCTGGAGCTACGTGGAAAATTGTATTTCTCCGGTGCAAGCGCGGACCCATCGTTCTCGCCGGAGAGACTAGTACCCGGATTAATTATGCGCGATAAAGTGCGTCGGACACGTGTAACTACACAGCGCCGTACGCGAGCTTGTGTCGCGGTACGCGGTACGTCACGGCCGATCAGATATTTTCTGAAATAATGCCGCACGGGGTCAAGTACATCCCACGTCCCGATGAGGATGGGTCTCTTCCTGTTTTTGCCCACGTGTCATCCCCTCCGCCGCTCGTCCAGTTTATAGTGTTTATACCCTTCTTGGTCGATACGGAGAAAATTATGGATCTGGTATGCGCTGCCCGTAATATATCACCGTAATGGACGATATATCAACTCGATACGTTTTATTCGTACATAGTAATGTCATTAGAATTACTTACTCTGCGTATAATGTGATAATTGCGATTTAATTGCCCCGATGAATTGCGCCGTCGAGATTTTAATTTGCGAAGATATTCGAAAGATTACAACATGTGGACGACGTTTCTGAGCAAGCAGCGAATATGGAAAACGTAATTCTTAACAGATCTTCGTACTTAGAACGCATATTTATTTCCCG